GCTGCGAACCTTAAGGTCAGCGGTTCGAAACTACCAGCCGCTCCGCGGGAGAAAGATGAGGCTTTCTACTCCCGTAAAGATTTACACCCTAGGAAACCCTGTACAGGGTCGCTATGGGTCGGACCCGACTCGATGGCACTTAACAACAACAACAACAACAACATTGGTATGGGGCTTAGTGCCATAAAGGACTCTTCCTTGAGGTTGTGGTGAAGTGCCGTGGAGTCGGTTCAGACTCAGAGCAACCCTGTATAGTTTCTGAGGAGCGGTTCGTGAGTTTGAACCACCACCTTGCAGTGAAAATAATCAGGGCGCGTACCCATCTGCTGTCCAGGTATTTCATCAAATCCTCACAAATAACCTTGGGTAGCTGAACTGCAAGGTCGGTTTGAACTGCAAGCTCATCAGTCACTCCTCAGAAACCCTATATATATAGTGTTGCTGTGAGTCAGACCAACTCAATGGTACTTAATGACAACAACCACACATTTTACAGGTGATGAAGCTAAGGATTTGGAAGGTTATGAGACTTGCCCGTGGCCTCTTGACTAGTGAACTAAGATGCCAGTTTAGGTCCCAAATGCCATGCTGACGGACTGCTAGAAATAAACATGAACATTTAAGATCATAGTATAGTCTACCTTCGGACTCCCGGTGGGGTGTTGTAGGATCAGCACTGGACTGCTAACCACAAGGTTGATGGTTCAGACTCACCAGCCGCTTCTTGGAAACCCTATGCAGGGTCGCTGAGTTGGAACCAACTCACCAGCATTTAACAGCAGCAACAGCATACACACTTGACTCCAAATATTCATGTCAAGACCTTTTATTATGAATTCCCCCAAGAAATTAGATTCATGGCCAATTGGTGTGGATGGACAATCCCAGACTCCCCCAGGCTCTTCCCAGAACTCTGAGCCAGTAATCAGTTCTGACTCACGAAGACCCTGTGTGCGTCACACTACAACTGTAGCCCATATGGTTTTTAATGGCTGATTTCTTAGAGGCGGATCAGCAGGCCGTTCCTCTGAGGCGCCTCTGGGAAGATTGGAAATTGACTCTTCAATGAGCAGCTGAATATGTTGACTGCCACTCAGGGGTTTTCCCAGCACTCTTAGAAACACCTGAAATACAGCACCGAATTACGGTTGTTACAGGGTACGTTAATGAATTCGGCATAAACTAACTTCCACACACGTGTTAGTACGTAGAGCTGGCGAACACACCCTGTGTGTCAGTTGCTGGTTTTAGTAATAGTTTTCGTCTTGCTATTCTCGCTGATTTGTCGTCTCCCTTGGCTGTACCCCAGTCTGTGTCCAGGAAACCCACAGTTACGCTGGTCCTTGTTGACCCCCCTCCAGCTGGCCTGCTGCGTGTCCGGTAAGTTGCCGGCGCTTACGTGCTCATTTCCTTGACCACCAGCTTTCTTTCCCTCTGACATCCTGCTTCTCAGAGGTGCTCCCCTGGGCCACCTTGCCTCCCTGAAAGTCCCAGGCTGTGGCTGAGCTGTCAGTGGGCCAATAGCAACCATGTCATGGCTACTTGTCATAGAAACGTCCCCTGATATACCTGGCTTTGTGTGAGTCTGATGAAGAGGGGCATTTACTTCAGCAACCAGTCCAGGACACCGGTTTAGTCATGGGACATGTCCTCTAAGCAGAGAGGATGTGGTGGATGAGGGAGCGTGTGCACACACAGACGTGTGCTGTGGGCGTGGACAGACAGGTCTGGCTTAGGTAAAGACTAGATTTTAAATGTCATCAGGACACATGATAGTCTTCATTCTTTACACCCCAAAGATGTCAAGCAGACAAAGGTGCTTCCTAATACTTCATTTAAAGGAGCTCTCCCCATAATATGAAGTTCTGGTGTGGCTGCAGGTCAATGCGCTGGACTGCAAGGTCAGCGTGAACCTCAAGGTCGACAGTTCAAGCTCACCAGCCGTTCCTTGGAAACCCCATACTGGGTCACTGTGAGTCAGAGCTGACTCGACGGCACTCAACAACAACAAACTCATAATATGGTAGTCCAGGCCCTGAGAAATTACAAAATGAAAAGATTGAAAAACTCAACAGTGCTCAGGATGCTAAATAGAGACCCTGTTACCCCAAAGAGCAACCACGTGGACCTACCAGATGCTCCAGAGGAGATAAATGGGGCAGCTTGCTTCCAGAAAGATTCACATCCTCGGAGACCCTGTGGGTCAGCTCTACCCTGTCCTAAGGGGGTCACTGTGACTCAGAATTGACTGCAAGGCAGTGGGGCTTTTTTGTTTCTTTGAATGTGAGTTAGACAGTAAAGGAGAAAAACCCAAGGGAGCAGGAAAGAAGAGAAATTCTGCAGAGTTGGAAGGCAGGGGACTGACAGTCTCCGAGATTTGAAGACACAGAACCTTTTAGAGCCAGGGGAAAAAAGACGTGCAAAGACCAGGTGATTTTTAATAAGGACCTAATATTGTGACTCCTTGACTCACAAGGAAGGCCCTTGACAAATGCATTTGCCGTGGCACATGGTAAAAAAACAAAGCAAAAGGAGATGTTTGGTTCTCCCTAAAAGGAGGGACTCTCATTGGAGACTGAGGGAAGGTAAATAGCAGGTTCCTTCCTCTGCCTGCTCACTACAGGGTTTTGGAAACAGGAAGGTGTGTCAGGCAATGGGGCTGGGGGAAGTCCTTCTGTGCCCAGGGAGCCAGGGCTCCATGTCACTGAATAAAGAGGGTACTGGGGAGCTGCTAAAACATCCCCTGCCCTCCTCACCCTGAGGACCCTGCCCTCTGTAGACATGAAGGGCTCCTCTTCATGTCTGATGAATGACTGAGGACCAGATGTTCCCACCATTGGTTGTCCTGGCTGCTTAAAGAGCTATCTGTTTGATTTTGGAAACCTGGATTCTTTTGAGACTTGTTTAATTAAGTTCCAGTTTGTACCTAACCCTGTCATAGTTAGTGGGTTTCCTTTGCAGGAACTGTTTTTATGTTTTTGTCTGGAGAGATGCCTCCTTCTCTCCCCCAGACAACTTCCCTGACCGTGTGCCAAGTAGCTCAGCTTTTGTGTTTTATTTCTCTGGGCACTTGCTATTTTCATGGTACTTATTTGACCTGGACTTCTAATAAGATTTTTTTTTTTTTTTTTAATGTTGAACTTCCTTTGGGCTAGGACCTTGTAAAATTACCCTTCCAACTTTGGAGAGCTGCTCTTTGTCATAGCTGGAATGGAGAATGTCTGTCTGTAGACATTTAGAGCGTTTCTCAATTTAACCTTCTACCTTCTTGTTGTGAAGTTGCTTTGTTACTTAGCTACGTGTCCTGCAGTGAAGATAGGCAAATACCATGTCCATCTGTGGACTGTCTGGAAACAGACATGTTGCATTTACTAATCTGTGGGCACACACGCTTTCTTATAGTGAGAATCTGTGTTAAAGTTAAGACTGTAAGAGATGCCTTCTGCTCACCTTGTAAAGCCTTCTTCTGTGGGCCAAGGGGACTCAGCTGAGAGAGGTGACATTCATCATTCAAGGCCACACAGTAAGTCCCTTGTGGTGGAATTGCTCTCCCGGGCAGGGTAAGATGGCAGTTTGGGGTTCAGTTCCTGTGATCATCACCACAGGGCCACCTGCATGAGAAGAGGTGACCATAGACATCATTTCACGGTTACCTGGGGAGCCAGCGACACCCTTTCCTCAGCCCTGGCGGGTTCCCTGCCTTGGCCTAGCTCACTCCAGTACTCTGGCCTGCGTCTGTTCCTTCAGCCTCTGGACTGCCGTTCTGACCCTGACCGTGGCTGCTTCCTTTCTGGGCTGGATTCCCGTCTTGCCTCCAGTATTTACTCTGATTTAATCCCTTGGCATGGTGCCTTTAGCGCCCTGGCCAGCAATTCTTACAGCTCTGACTGGACCCCGGGGGCACCTCTGCTGGGGTGGGAGGAATGCAGGCCACTCCCCTCCTCCTCTGTTTGGAATGTGTCTGGGCCAGCTGTTTAGAATATATGCTAATTAGACCGTGGGTTTACCCTTTCTCTGAGGGGTTGCCCTAAGCACTGGGAGTGGACTTCAGTAGAAGGCAAAGGAACCAACCCCAGCTTTGGGAGTGTGGCTGTTTTGTGATTACAGACTGTACCCTGAACCAGCTGGCTAAGGTCTGGTCCCAGAGACAGGGTGTGATGTGTGAATGCTAACACAGCCCCATGCTGATGCAGAATGTCTGTGGTCATTTGCCCGTGCAGTGGGCAGGGAGCCCAGCTAGGGAGGAGAACGTCTGTACCATTCATCTGGGTCATTTAGGACCAGATGCCTCACCAGGTTTCAGTGGGGCCATATTGTACGGCCACTTAGAGTCTGACCCCCACTGTTTCGGGATCTTCCTGGGCAGAGGTGGGGCGAGCCCACATTAATATCCTATGAAGACATTGGGCACCCAGGTTTGTTGGGTTGATAGGTAACTGCCTGTTACTAATAGCTTCTACTGAGGTTCTTCCACCTGTGTGCTAAGCACCAGTTTCAAGTGCTTTCCACTTATTCACTTGTTTATTCCTGTGAGTGGGACTCCTGGTGTGGCGCTGTGGGTTAATGCGCTGTACTGCAAAGCCGTTTGAACTGCAAGGTTGGCGGTTCAAGCTCACCAGCTGTTCCTGGGAAAACCTATAGAGGGTCGCTGTGGGTCAGAATCGACTCAATGGCACTTCACAAGAACAAATGAGTGCCATTTGGTTCCTTTCTGCAGATGAGTAACCTTAGAAACCCTATACAGGGTCGCTATGGTTCAGAACCAACACGACAGCACTTAACAACAACATGAGCCCTATGGAGCACAGCTCGACTTGGACACATAAGGAGTCACCCTGAATCAACTGTTTTGTTGTGTGTTGTTATAAAACAACGGAGTAAAAATGTGATGAAGTAACTGTCCCACTAACTAGTGGAAATAGGATTTGAACCCATGAAGGTAGTTCACGAGTTTCAAGTCAGCTTCTGGAGCCCCTCAGGTGCAGGAGGATACTGGTCTCTGGGTGTACGCCACGCATTCCCTGCGGAGTCTTGGTTCTTGTTTTTGTTGTTGTTGTTGTTGTTGTTAGGTCCCGTAGAGATGATTGTGACTCACAGCGACCCTATGTACCACAGAACAAAACACTTCCAGGTCCTGGGTCAGCCTCGTAATAGTTGTTACTGTCACTGGGCTGGTCCACCTCTTTGGGCATCTTCCTCTTTTCTGCTGACCCTTCACTCTATCGAGGCTTTCCCCGCACACTCTATCTATAAA